TTTGTAGAGGTTTTTGCTATAGGGCACGTGCACTCGCCAGACAGACAGAGAGAGACAGAGAGACAGAAAGAGAGAAATCACCCCCCAGGGGGGATGACCACGCCACAATCCCTTCTCCTCCATTCTCCTCTCTGGATCTTGGGCACGCACGCACACGCGCCTGGCGTGAGTTTAAGCCACCAGGTCCGGGACGCAAACCGCGGTCGACTACGTGGTAGTCCAGCGACATAGCCATTACACTAACTGCTGGTCCCGATTTCTCGCTTTCTATCTCTCTGTCTCTATCTGTCTGGCGAGCTCACACACCCTATAGCAAAAACCTCTCCAAAAAAAGAAAAAAAAAAAAAAAAGAAAAGACAAATTGGTTTTATTTTGGAATATAAAGAAAGGAATAACCTAAATACTACTCTGGAATTAATTTTGATCAAGAAAGACAAACTGGAAGGTAAAATAGAAGAAAGGAATACAATCATGTTATGCTAGAGCTTCTGGTAGATAAGAAGGTGACCTCTGGGCAGAAAAATGTATCCTCCACATAAAGAAAGTGATTTGAAACAGCTGAGGGAGATACATGCAGATTCTAAAAAGAAAGGTTATGAGAGGAATGCAATAGCTCAAAATCGAAATAAATAATTGCTGACATATATTTGGTGTGTATGTATATTAACCCAGTTGATCCTTTAAATTGTTCCATAAATGTTTGATGATTATCCTATTTTTAAGGTTGAATAAACTGAGGCTAGCAAGGTTCAGCACTTGTTGAAAGACTAACAACTAATAAATGGAAGCGGGAGATTAAGAACCCTGGAAGTTCGACTCCAGGGCCAACACTGTCAACCAGTATCGTAGTCTATGCCAGATGCAATGGCCCCAATAGGTGGCAAACTTTTTCACAGTTAGCTAATATTTTAGGCAGTTTTTTTGGTCCTCTGGTTTCAACTACTAAACTCTACCCTTGCAGGGTAAAATAGCCATATATATTTATAGCATTATATTTAATATATAAATGAATGCAGCTGTGTTATAATAAAACTGTACTTATCTGCACCGAGTATAAAATAAATATATATGAATTATGAATATATATGTGTGTATACACACACACTCCCACACACAGACATATCTTTTATTTCTGAGCAATTTCAGGTTCGCAGCAAAATTAAGCCGAAGAGGTATTTCCCCTCTATCCCCTACCCCACAGATGCACAACACCCCAGTCAGAGTGGTACACTCATTTTAACCAATGAACCCACACTGACATTGTTATCACCCAAAGGCCACAGTTTACACTAGGGCTCACTTTTGGTAAATTATGTATAATTTTCACACGTCACAAATTATGAATCATGATTTTTTTTCCAGCCATTTAAAAATGTCAGAATCATTCTTAGCTCTTGGGCTGTATAAAAACTGGCAGGTGGCTGGATTTAGTCTAATGGCCTTAATGTCCCCACTTGTAGTCTATATTACAATGACTGAATTAGCAATGTCCAAACTGAGAATTCCATTTGTAAATGTTAAGTTTCCTTTGTACTATGCCAGAAAAGAAAGTAGTTCCAAGTCTGTTTTTTTTTTTTCTTTTCATTCCTGCCTTTATGAAAAATATGCTTGTATGTGTGGGAAGTCAAATTCTGGATTGCAAATCTATTTGGTGTAGTTATTGAGAAAAAGGATGGAAATCATTCTTCTTCTCTGAAGGGAACCATATAGAATCAAGGTTCTTAGAACAGGGCCTGAACTCAGATGCTCTGACTTCAGGATCTAACTTTGGCACCTAGGCAAGCTATCTAACCTCTTTGACTTTTACCTTCCTCACCTGTAAAATCAGAACGCTTGGGGCTAGTGGGTGGTGTGGTAGTTAAGATGCTGGATTTCCACATGGCTGACCTCAGTTCAAAGCCCACATCTGGCAGCTTGAAAATCATGCCAGACACTGGTGAATGTGAGCCCAAAATCCCAAGAAGAGAATGGAGGAGAAAGGATTTCAGCGTGGGATGATTTCTCACTTTCCCTCTCTCTGTCTCTGTCTCTCTGGCAAGCTCATACACCTTATAGCAAAAATCTTTAAAAAAGAAAAGAAAAAGAACATTAATAGTTCCTACTTGATGGGCTTGTTGTGAATAGCAAATAAAACTGTGAAGTGTATCATCAGTAAAATAAGAACTCAGTGTACTTCAAAATGAATGACGAATACTAGTGAATCAGAACACATTTTTAATAGCACAGAGCATTCCAATTTTGCATCCATAAAGATGAAACACACTGCAGTTCAGCTTTGCAAGCACATTAGAACTGAAATTCAACTGATAATACTTACTTCACCAGTTATTAGTTTAATGCCAAGTCAATGGGTTGAATGTTGCAGGCTACATTACAGTAATGCAGTTTTTAATCTTACCACTGAGCACTCTAGCTTCCTCAAAAAGATTTAAATTATGACTTTTAAGCTTATCTCAACTCCCTTTTTAGGTTCTAATAGGTATCTATTTGAAATGCTCTTTTCAGATTTTCCGTCTGTGCTACTATTTCATGTTTACTCTTCTATTATACTGACTTACTCAACCATGAAACCAATTGTAATATGCCATATTAAACCTACTTCAGATAGATTTCCAAGCACCTGAAATATAATCGGATTTCTTTAGAAAATGTGGGGATCTTTGGTCATGGGTGATTAATGACTTAAGCCTTCTAGGAAAAGAACGCCACCACAGAAATAATTGCTTCACTCCATTTACATGAGTTTGCTTTGAGAAGAAGAAAGTGAGGTTTGCATTTTGCAATTTCTCTAAATTTTGTCTTGATAGTGCCACTTTCTGATAGTGGTAGAAACTGGAGGACATTCCTTGTATTATTTCAGAAGTCTAATTTACATAAAAGATTATATTAACTTATGCTCCGTTATTGTTCCGTATGTTGAAAGAATGAGATAAGGGAGGAAAAAGGCTCCAGTCTCAAATGTGCCTATATTTGGGACTTATTGGCAGAAAGTGAAGATCACAGGGAATTGTGTTCAAATGAAGATGTCTTTGGGACATATTAAATAAGATTACTCCAATTGTCAGAACTTTGTTTCCCAATTGAGAAAAACAGGTTGAAGAAGACATTATAAGTACTCGATTCTCCTTTCTTATCCTTATTTCTCTTTACAACTTGAAGAGGGAGAGGAAACTAATGTTTTGAAATAACATTTGAACAAGCAAAGGCAAATTTTCAAGACCTTACAATTAGCAAAAGTCAAATAAAACCAAACAAAACACACAGTTAGGAAAAGGAACATCAACACCTATTAAATCCCCACCATAATAATTGTGCAATCAAAAAGTTATCCTAGCTGTCCTCTCATGGCTCAACCTCTGAATGCTGAGAGTTGTTGAATAAAGTAAGACCAGGGCAGAAGCATATACAGACTCTTATCTCAGGACCCGTCTTACTAAGAGTTCAAGCGAATTGCCTTCTTTTCAGCATCTACTAACTGGGTGACCTTTAGCAAATTACAACTTTCCTGATGTTCTCACCTGCAATTAGGAGTAAACAATACATCATGTGGTCTGGTGACATTTAATTCCAGTAGTGGATGAGAAGCATTTAGGACTTAGTGTATGTGTGTTACCTAGTAAGCATTCGCTTTTATTATTTTTATTACTTTAATGGATCAGGGACACTGTCATAGACGTCACAAAGACAGGACCAGACATTCCTGGGAACCAATTCCTGCCAGTGCCCTAATCATGTGGTGTGGCTAAACGAGTGGTGCTCCACTCAAGGCGGAGACCTGGTGGTTGTCCGCTCTTTAACCCAAATTAGAAAAGAATGAACAATGGGACCAGCAGTTAGCATAATGGCTATGTCGCTGGACTCCCATGTACTCGGTCCCGGACCCAGTGGCTTAAAACTCACGGCGAGCGCGTGTGCGGCGTGCCCAAGATCCCAGAGGGGAACGGAGAAGGGATTGAGGCGTGGCCATCGCCCCTGGGGGGTGACTTCTCGCTTTCTGTCTCTGTCTCTCTCTGTCTGGTGAGCGCACGCAACCTATAGCAAAAATCTCTCCAAAAGAAAAGAAAAAGAGAAGAGAAGAGAAGAGAAGAGAAGAGAAGAGAAGAGAAGAGAAGAGAAGAGAAGAGAAGAGAAGAGGAGGAGAAGAGAGCAGAGCAGAGCAGAACAGAACAGAACAGAATACTATGGATTTTGGTGTGCGTGTCTTCATTTTTTTTAAGGTAAAAGGGAATTCAGCTTAAAGACCTGTTCTTTATTTTAAGATTATAGCCTTTCGTACTTTTTCCCATTCAAATTCACTGGTGACGTCTAAATAATTGGACTTTAATTTCTCAAAGTGTTAGCAAAATTAAAGTGTGGCAGTTCTATTCTAGTCCCGGAAATATGAGAAAACACCCAAATTCAGATTTGACCTCAAACCCTTTCCCCTTCAAAAACAACGCAGGCACGACCAACCCACCCGAGGAGACGAGAGGAGAGACAACCCCCCGTGACCTCGCGGCTCGCGACCGACAGTACCGGATGGGGTGGAGGCGGCGAAGGGAGGTGGGGCCCAGGAGGGACACGCCCTTTCTTACGCAATCCTGCCCGCCAATTGGCCGCGGTGCCCGGAGTTTCAGCCAATCCCCAAAGCTTTTGAAAGCGCCGGCCAGACAGAGCGGAGCCGGGCCAATAGGCAGCGGCGATATAGATTCCTGGATAGCGGGTGCGTGGGTCTCCGCGACTGCTGAAAGGGAAGCTGGGTGGTAGTGGCCGTGATACTTCAGCCCCCGCCCTGCGCGTCCGACTGGAAATCCGCCGGGAGCCACCGGGGCGTTCGGAGGGGGGAC